TTTTATACGGAAATTTGTTGTTAAAAAAATCCATTTTTCACACGTAACAAAACAAGTGATCACAAAACATAGAATACAGTGACGTTGGAGAAGGAGAATAGACCAAAGGAGATCGGAATTGACATTTCAAATTAGTGTCTCATAATGTTAGTGATGGGAGAATACATTTGCGATCAGTGGAATGTACAGTATATTCAGATAAGAGATAGACCAGATGTAAACAAAAGGTTCGGGTGATTTTCAGGCTAACGCCGCCGTCTCGACGTAAAACAGGAGCCCTCATTGGTCAATTCGCAATTAAATGCCTATGCCGAGCGGCAGAGCAGTCGTATCAAGGCAGAGTCACATTCAGGTTCAGACGTGTTACGTATGTCGTGTGCATCATTGCAATTTGATATTTCTTTGGACGTTTTCGTTTGTTATCTTATTAAGTTGTTGAGTTTGTCGTTGTTATTGTTATACCTTGTTATTGATTGTTATTGCTATCAACTGCTTGCGCAAAATGCCCAGTAGTACAGATACTGCCGATGAAGTTGTAAACTCCTGTAGTCCACCTAGGAAACGCTCTAAAAAAAGACATCTGAGTGCAGAAATGAAAGAGGTCATTTTGAATATATATAAGATCGAGCGCGAGGAGAACGAGGCATCAACCATCAAAGAAATTGTTGTGAAGGTTTCTCACAAAGTTGGGGTGTGTCGCGCATCAGTGTTTAATGTGTTAAGACAATACAAAAAAAATCACACCTTTTCTGAGCCAATGACCAGTAAACATCGCAAAAGTATTGTTAAATCATTGGATGAAGCTGATAAGCATGCGATTAGGAGGAAAGTGCATGAATTCTTCTTTAGGAATGAAATACCTACTATAGATAAAGTACTGCAGGAGGTAAATGGAGATACAACGTTGCCAAATTTCAAACGATCAACTTTCCATGCGTTACTGAAGCATTTAAATTTCAGATGGAAAAAACGGGGTCGTAATAGTTTACTACTGGATAGAGAAGAAATTGTGCTATGGAGAAGGGATTATTTAACCAAAATTGGGAAATATAGAAATCAAAACAGGAAGATTTATTACCTTGATGAAACGTGGGTAAACGCAGGACACACTACAAGTATGGGTTGATGATTCTGTAACTTCATCCAGGAGGGCCTTTCTAGATGGACTGTCCACCGGATTAAAAAATCCAGCAGGTAAATACGAGTAATAGACAACAATCGGATGTTTTTCAAACCTTGGGAACAAGGTTCTAAACATTAATTCCAGGGGGCAGATAAAACATATTACAAGTAACAAAATTTTTATAACTTTCGATAAAATGCGTGGATGTTTTATTGTCATTTTCATTTGTTAGAACTTTTTTAAGCCATGTTTTTATGTGTTTTCGATATTTCAATAATTTTTTAATATAATCTTAAAATATGTCGAATATTATAAACTTAAAAAAAGTTACTAAGTTTTATATTGTGTACCGTTCCTAATATTTCTAATCATTTTAATTCATGTTAGCGGCGCCGCTGTGACTACCCATAATTCCCTCTCAAAAGGGTGAAATGATATCGTTATCTTCTGCGACGGAAGGAGAAGCACGAGGGGTCCGGGGACGACTACTACCTGCGATCCCTCGCAGGTAGTAGCGAAGATGACGACAGTCACGTACCTACAGCCAAACAAATTGTGCCTAAATACGGAGTAAATGGTAGTACTCGGAATAAAGTATTGATTGGGGATAGACGTGTATTTTTTGGGGGAAAAGCCAAATCAAATCTACCCCGTTTCTTACATTCATACTTTTAGCTTTATAAAATTATAATTTGTTAATATTAATATTTGCGCGTATTTCAGGTTCCCGATCATTCATTTTTTAAAGGTTTATAACTTTAAATTAAATTGTGAAGCGCTGAGTAATCATACGACGTTCAATATTCTTTCTTTCAATATGACTAAATAATCCCAATTATAGCAATCTGATACTCATGTCTCAATGTTTTTTCGCTGAATGTGATGAAAACATTTGAAAAAGGTTCGCTTATTGAAATAAATCTACACCAGTTAGTACTTCGATTTCCAGGTAAAGGGAAAAGGCTCATTATCTGCCATATTGGCAGTGAGGATGGATTTGTTGTTGACGGTCTGTGGTGCTTTGAGTCTAAGAAAACTGGAGATTACCACGAGGAAATGAATGGCGAATCGTTTGAACAGTGGTTTTCAAAAATTTTACCGAACTTAGAGGAAAACGCAGTAATTGTGTTGGATAATGCGCCTTATCATTCTCGAAGAATGGAGAAGGTCCCAACAACGGCTTCAAGGAAAGTTGATGTTCAAAATTGGCTCCGCTCGAAAAATATCAACTTTGAAGAAGCAATGCTGAAAGTACAATTATTAAGAATTGTCAAGGATCACAAGGCGGAATATCAAAAATACGCCATTGACGAAATGGCAGCAAGTCAAAATAAAACTGTGCTCCGTGTACCTCCATACCATTGCGAGCTCAATCCCATTGAGCTCATATGGGCAGAGGTTAAAAATTATATAGCTAAGCACAATACAACTTTTAAATTTTGTGACCTCAAAGGACTTTTCAAAGAAGCACTAGAATTAATAACAGCGCAAAAATGGGAAAACTGTATTAAGCACGTGAAAGACAAAGTTGAAAAGAGAATGTGGGAACTGGACAATATTTTAGAGGAACAAGTCGAGCCATTCATTATTGACGTTGGTGCTTCAGGCAGTAGCGATGATGAAAGCTCATCAAGCTCATCTTTCCAATAAAAGATGTCGTTCATCAAATTCGGTTAGTTATAAGTAATTATAAAGCTACTGTTTTTTTTAATTAATTATTGACATTTTTGAACCCATTTTGGCAAAACCTATTCAAGAATCTACTTTCTGACAATGTTCAACCATGCACATTTTTTTACATTTTGAACGTTTTAATTTGGTTACAGATTTACCTAGAAATAAAAAAATATACTAATCAATATTCTAAAAGCAATTTTAAGAGATATACGATTATTTTTAATTTAGGCTAATTTAAACGCCATTTTGAGATTATATTCGACTGTATTTCACCAAACATCAGGCGGCATCCGAAGCTGGAAATCGAAGCGAAAATTTTGAAACCCTTATGTATATTTACATCATTATATATTTCTTACCCCACCCCCACATGATCCTATATCCATCACCAATCGTATACACATCGAATTGTGCTAATTTACTACAAAGTTACGCAAAGCAGCATCTACTATCTAAAATATGTACTGCGTGACTCTTAATACGTCCCTGCCGAATGTTACAGCGTTCGATGATCACGTGGTCTTGTTTATGTCCGGTCTATCTCTTATCTGAATATACTGTAGAGACTGGAATATCTGTTCTGTATCTGTATATATATTTTTTGTGGTATTGTTGCATAAAGTAGTTGGTTCACGAACTAGTTCCTAGAACTGAACGCAACTTAATGGAACGAACTGGAAAGCACATCACTTTTTCAAGTAATCCAAGAAGGGACAAATTGTCATTTCATCACACTAGTGATGGGAGAATCGAAAGCCTGAGATTCGCTTTGCTTCTGTGGCTCAGAGATATAGTGTTTTCTTCTGATAAAACTAGCGCAGTTTTTGTGCTTAAAATACTCTACCTTAGTTAATACCTTTGATCCTAAAGTTGCTCCCATAACAATATTAAACAACTCTCATGTCGTGTCGCGTATTTCGAAAGGATGTCAATGGCCGGCAGGGGAAAATTTTTCTCTGAGAACTGAAAATCATTAAACGCGCTGTTTTCAGTCTATTTTATGCTATCCCTTGGGGACGTACAGAATGAAGAAAAGACTACAGTGCTCAGTGGCCACTCAGTGGCTCAGTGCTCGTCTGCAATGATAATATTCAAATACTACTAAACACCTAAATAGCTTTCTGGCCTTTCAATTTCGAAGCTACCAGTCCTCGCTTAGAGATGGTAGCACAGTTACGGATAGACTCGGGGTATACGGTTACGGATATTTATGATTCCCCTCGATATCGATATATATTATCGTCTTGAAACCATCGATGCGTAAAGATCGATATTCTACGTCCGATGTATCGATGTTTTCCATACATCAATGTATCGTCTATCGTCGCCATCCCTATATTGTATCCCCACCAGTCACTAGTCAAAAACCTTAACCTCCAATATTTTATCACTATTTATAATTCTTTTTAGCTCTTATTTTTCAGTAATTACTAATAATTTTAGGTCTATGTCTACAGTAATTGCATTATGCACCTCGGAGATGTAGGGATTAACATGTTTTACACATATCGGTGTTTTAGGATGGGGACGACCATACTGTTTTGATTGCTTTGAAGAAATTCATTAACTCATGAATTTATAACAAATGATTACTATTATGATGTAAATAGAGATGAGGAATTGGTTGGAATACATTTTATATTCTATTTTCTTGCAAATCCGCACAATTCCTCAGGTATGTGTAGCTATAATGATCACACATACACGCAGTATATTGAACTTAACAAATTTCGAGATTTTACACCTATAACATAAATCAAAATATATGAAAGTTGTCCTGTTTTCTCTGTACAAAAGCATCATGTTGGAATCAAAAAGTGGTCTTGTTTATAATACAGTCGAATTTTCACGATTTTGTTCAACATTTTAATAGAAATCACTAATATTCTGAGACCTTTGACAGCTTCCGTCAAATTGCATTTCAATAAGGTATTTTCCTATTGGTCCATAATAATAAAGTTGGTGAAATCGGCCCTAAGTGTTTCAAACATTTTTTTGTAGAGCCCTGAAAAAGAGAGAATTTTTCGTCTGCAACTTTATATCAGGAAGCCGAGTTTCAAAGATTAATTACAAGAAATTTCTAGAGGGATAGAATATGTTCTGCCAGCGCACTAGATTTTGCCTGTAAATAAAAGTATGTGCAACTCAAATTTCACTACATTATTTAACAATTATGATCATTACTGACAAAGATACTTACACGCTAGACCCATGACGATAACAGCAAATCTATAATACTTGAATTTGGTGTGATGATCTTTGGTACCGAGCCCTAGGCCTGTGAGGACTGTAGCTACCAAGTCTGTCAGGAGGGTTATCACACACAGGGTTGCCGCCGCCCTTATATACGCTGAAAAAAAAAATAGATATTTAAGTATACTGACATTGCTATCTAAAATTCTGGAAAGAATTGCCTATGAGCAAATACTAGGACACATAAATAAAAACAGTTTGATTCCGAATGTTCAGTCAGGGTTTCGGAAAGGTCACAGTACGGTTACAACTTTGATGAACATATGTGATGACTATATCAGAGCTATAGATAAATCTTGTGTCACAACGTCAATTCTAGTTGATCTCAGCAAAGCTTTCGATTCTATCAATCATGAATTGCTTCTTGCTAAGCTGCATTATCTTGGATCTTCTGATAGTACTGTTACGTGGTTTAGGAGTTACTTGCATGAGCGGTCACAATGTAGGCGGCTGTATGTCCGACAAGCGTGCGATTTTGAAGGGGGTACCGCAGGGCTCCATACTTGGCCCAATTTTGTTTACTTTGTATACGTTCGATCTAAGTCGTGACATTAAATATTGTTCTATTCAGTTTTACGCTGATGATACCCAACTGTATTTGTCTTACGGTCCTTCCGATTTCCTGGAGGCGAACAGGAGAATGTCTTGTGATCTAGATCGTGTTGCAAAGTGGTATAACGATCACGGGTTACTTATCAATTCAAACAAATCTGCTGTCATAACTATTAAGTCCATACAAAGTAATTTCGATAGTAACTTGATAGAATTACACCTGGAAGGTGGAGACTTGCCTCATATAAAATCCGTGAAAAATTTAGGAGTAATAGTGGATGAACATCTCACGTTTCACGATCACGTTTCCAGGGTTGTGCAAAATTCATATGCTAAGCTCAAGACAATTTACAAAAAGTGCAAAATAGTTGTATCAGGTATGCATTAGGTGTTCCGAGAAGGGAACACATTACTAGATACATTAAGGATGTCAACTGGCTCACGATGCGTCAGAGATGGATTGTACACTTGTTGTTCATAGTTCAGACAGTCCTATTAACCAAATATCCAGCATATCTGAGCAGCAAACTTTCATTCAGAAGTCAGCATCACTCGGCGAACTTACGCTTTGTAGGTTATACCCTCGATATGCCCCCACATAAATCAACACAATTCACAAAGTGCTTCTCATACATAGCACCTTTCCTTTATAATTGTCTACCATCAGATCTGAAAAGTTTGAGTAACAATAATTTTAAAGTTAATACAAAGAAATTTGTTCTCGATAATACCTAATTTTATACTAAACTTTCATCTTGTAACTGCTGTGATTCTACATTTAATGTTAATGTTAATCTTATGTAGCCCTGGTTGGTACCAATCGCAGCTATTAGCTGATATACCCGCCAGGTAAAATAAAGGCGTATTATTATTATTATTGTTATTATTATTATAATTTGTCTTTGATGACATGTAGCATGTATTTTTATGTAATTTTATTTTTATATTTGTTTATTTGTGCATGTTTTCTCACTTGTCACTTTTCATTTGTTTGTGTTTTGTTTACGAATCTGTTGCTGTTTACTTTTAATTTTTATATCTTCCCCCATATAATATAATATATTTTTTTTATTTTTTTAAGTTACTTCCAAGTATAGTTTTTGATTCTGCTACGTACTCTTTGGGCATTATACCATGCATAGGCTACAATTTCGTAAAAAAATGTTTTTTCTGCTTCAAATTTTCTTATCTTTTGTGTATTTTCCTTTGTATTTGCATGTACCTGATTTTAGCCCTGGTTGGATCTGAAAAACAGCTTTTGCTGATGTAATCCGCCAGGTAAAATAAAGGCCATTTATTATTATTATTATTATTATTATTATTATCTAGGGCCTAAAGTGGGCGTTTAGGACCCGCGGCAAGAAGCCCCCTGGGCTCTAACAAGCCAAGGAACGTAAGCGCTTGTCAAGGTCGAGGATATTCGAAATTATACAGGGTGTTGTTAAAGTTGGGACTTTCCTTCACGGACAATATACGTCATGCAACAATAACCAACATTTCAGAGCTGTCGAAAGTTAAAAATGTCAGTCAAGAAGTTCCTCAAGGATCAATCCTTGGGCCTCTGCTATTTACAAAATACCTTGAATTCTGTTTATCGCACATGTATGGTGATGACAGTCAGTGGTACATGACATTTCCTGATGCAAACTGGGCTGAAGCTCAAGATAGAATAAACAACGACTTAGCCTTAGCACATTTATCTGCAGACCACAAACTTCTGTTTCAATTTATCGATTTTCAAAAACTACCACCAATCTTGTGCTTAAGATTAGCAGACAGAGAGATAGACGGAAATGAGTGACCAAATTTTTCGTGATGTCATAATGTCTCTTTTTCGAAAATTTCCGCGAATACAATACTTGCCCGCTAGTAGAGTAATATACTAAGTGACATATAAATCCGAACGCCCAGTTTAAATGGTTTTATTTTAATAAAATTTCGTATAAGTACTTAATGAAGCATAATAAGTAAATGATAAAAATTTCAAAATGATTGCACTGCTTTAAAGCCCTTTGACCTTTAATAATGTGTGGATGCATCCTGATGTGCTACGCATTCTCCAACGCGCCTAGACATGCTTCTGATCAGGTGGTCAATGTCCTCCTGTGGTATCTCATTCCAGGCAACCACCAACTCCTCTCGAAGTGCTTCTAGAGTCTGAGGAGGACGTTGCAAATTGAGCAATCTCCTACCCATCATATCCCACACGTGCTCAATTGGGGATAAGTCGGGAGATCTTGGTGGCCATGGTAACAATGTGACATCATTATGTTGAAAGAAGTATATTGTGACTCTTGCAACATGTGGTCGGGCATTATTTTGTTGGAAAGTTGGATCTGCCAGGGTGTCAAGATAGGGTAAAAGATGGGGTTCTAAAACTACGTGGATATAACGCTGCGCGTTCATGTTACCTCTGATGAAGATTAAAGGTGACCTGGAACTATAAGCTATAGCACCCCAAACCATAACTCCAACAGTGTGATGAACATGTCTTTCAACAAAAAACTGTGGATTCCTCCTTTCACCACGTCGCCTTCTAACCCTGGCACGACCATCGTGCATGCCTAAACAAAATCAAGACTCGTCACTAAAGACAATACTGTTCCATTCCTGATCCCAGAGTGACCGTTGTCTGCACCACTCAAGGCGATTATGTCGGTGTTCTCGAGTTAAAGGGAGGACGCAGTGTGGTCGGCAAGAAAACAAGCCAAAACTTCTCATTCGTCGATAAACACTTCGCATGCCAATAGGTCTTCCGTGTTCTGCAAACCATTCATTTGCAATGGACCTGGTAGTGGAGAAACGGTCCCTTAAGGCCAATAATCTTAGGCGGCGATCTTCACGGTCTGTTGTTCTACGGCGGCGTCCAGTGCCCCTTGCTCTTTGCGTACGGCCTCCTCGAAGCCATGCCTGACAACACCTAACCACAGTGTCTACACTTCTTTGCACTCTAACTGCTATTGCCCGAAAATAAAGTCCAGCTTCCCGAAGTCCCACTATACGGCCCCTATCAAACTCACTAAGTTGACGAAATCGTACAGGTCTCCGTACTCTAGGCATCGTAACGGATTGTAAAGGATGTCAACAACCAAAATCCGCCAACGTTGATTCTTTACTGCGGCTGAAATATTCATTTTTAGAGGGTTAGTGAATTAAAAAAAAAAACAGTATAAAAACCGGAATGACCAACTGATAAGGCTGAAAATTTTTTCACTTGTTATTTACAGTAAGATAAATACATTCACCAACTTTTATTAAAATAAAACCACTTAAACTGGGTGTTCGGATTTATATGTCACTTAGTATATGTACACTAAAGACACTCATAGAACCTTTTTTGTAGCAAAATGTGGAGCAAAGAAAACAATTTTTGTATTACGTTTAAAATAATCTTAAACAATTTTGGATGCAATTTTGGGTCTTATAACATGTAGATTCATTAAAAAGAGGCTTTTGAATGAGATTATGCAACGAAACCGAATCAGAATATTTTTCCAAGCAGATCCGAAGATACTTCCTGGACTATACTATAACTATCTAAAACTGTAATGACTCGTCGATGTCCACGTGAACATCACTTAACTACCAGTAGTCGGCTGTTCATAAGCGGGGTATGAATGTTTAACATGGGTGAACTAGATTTGTCACATGCTTAATAAAGACTGGTTTGAAACATATTGTAAGTAAAAAATTTGGGAATTACCTTTATTCATCGTCGCTTCCACTTACATCTGACAGTAATAAACTGTCGCTATCGCTTTCCTCGTTGAAATTGACTATAACTGGCTCTATGATGGTGTCGATGTGGTGGTCAAGCTGCCACATTTTTGTTTCTTCCTTCACAACATGACGGATAGCATTCTGCCAAGCTTCGGGCGTTACTAGCTGTAGTCTCAAGTAAAACCTTAACGTCTGGTAATTTGAAGGTTGTGTTATGGCGCGCAATATAACCCTTCACTTGAGCCCAGATGAGCTCTATTGGGTTCAGTTCATAGTGGTAGGGCGGTAACCGCAGCACAGTGACACCACATTGACGGGCCATCTCATCAGTCACGTAACTAATGTTCGCAGGTTTGTGCTGTTTAATTTTTTCATACAATTCCGCTTTCACACATGAATCGTCAAACGGGATTCCTTTTTCGCGCAACCATTGCTGCATGTCACTTTTTCGAGATCCCATAGTCGGTACACGTTCGGCTCGACGACTGTGGTAGGAAACATTATCCATGACGATCACAGAGTTGGGCTCAACTCACTGAAGCACCCCTTGAAACCAGCTCTCGAAGCAGCTGGCATTCATTTCGTCATGGTAATCACCTCCTTTCTTAGAGACGAAAATCAAGTCACACTCTTCTAAAAAGCCACTATCGCTACCAATATGAGTTACGATCAATCTTTGACCTTTCCCTGACGATCCACGAAGACCTGTTGACAAACCTTCAATGCTTGCTTGTCGGTTACTCACTACGTTTTTGTATCCAGGTTTTTAAAACTGTGTGACCTGCATTTACCCATGTCTCGTCCAAATAATTGATTTTTCTGCTTTGTCGCCTATATTCAATCATTTCGTGTAGGTATTTTCGACGCCAGGCGACTATTTCAGGTCTCTCTATCAATACTGACTTCCGATTACGCGTTTCGTAACGAAAATTAATTTCGTGCAGGGATTTCCTCATTACCATTTGGGGTATAATTTCATTTTCCTTGATCGCTGCATGTACAGCCTTGAGGGTTGGTATCTCATTCCTAAAGAAGAATAAATGTACGGTTCGCTTTAACGCCATTTTGCTATCGTCATCCAATTTAACGGCCTTTCGTCACTTCAAATTAAACTTTGGATCAGTAGTAGCTCCAGTTTTCTTCTTTTCATGCACCACCCTGCGAATGGTCCACTCTGGAACGCCTGTCATACTTTCACAACGCGCGAGTGCATCTCCCTGCGACATAGTTCTGTTCAGATAATTGAACACGTTGAGCACGATTTCTTTCGCGTCCCTCTTCAGTGCTTTACGAAGCCGTCTACTTGTTCCCTGGCTTTCAGTTCTTCCACTCGTGCCATTTGTACTCTCCATGGTTAAGTATAACCAAAACAGTAACCACAGAAACCACAACAATAACAATCACACAACAATTCTTATAAAAACACACAATATGCGATCGCTCAACGAAACACGTTCAAATGCGTTGCCGACGCCTATGAGTCTGCCGGTCGAGGCGCATCTTTGATTTCTTTGGTTCTACCGGCGGAGAACAATCAGCCATTATTTCCATCTCTGTCTGTGCTGTTGACCACCGCAAAGCCACAGAAACGACATATGTCGTACGCTATACGGCTGTACTGGAAGGAAGCCGGGATCGAGCTCTGATCGCGTGTTGATCACGCGTATGAGTCATTACAGTTTTAAATAATTGTAGTATAACACACGTCCGAAATATCCCAGGAATATTATACTTTTTCTCCAAAAAACATACAATAATTGTCAATTTAGGTAAACTTACCAGCATCTCGTGATTGATAGCATCCCGGAGGATCCTGCATGTTAAACGGCAAGGGTTGCGGGGCATCTTTTTCTATGCAATGCATGAACAGGCCTTGCCTCCAACCCGCTGCCATCAGCCAATCTGTAGAGGCCAGGCCCATGATCATTAGGATGATCACGATCAGGCCGCATATGAAGGCTATCACCTGAAAAACAAAAATACACAATTATAATACCTCCATCACTGCTTTCAACAAGTTTATATAAATAGATGGATACATAGATAAATAGGTATTTCATTTGTTCATGTACAAAGTGCAACAAAAACATGTTCTAAAAAACAATTTCGCACTAGCGTCTACCAGAATCCCGCCATTGATAATTTTCCTCAGAAATTCAATGGATTTGACCTTGACAATTACCTTCAAGGTCGTTTGAAGGTCAGGTCGATTTTATAAATGGAACCCCACACTTTTGATCCCGTAAATGAAAAGAGCGCATAATTTTTAGGTTCAAATATGGTCTTGACCATTCTTAAATTTTGACCTTAGGAGGTGCGATGATATAACTTGAAAACGAGTAGTCATATAGGGAAAATACCGAGATATTTTAATGATTATTCCCCGGATATCCAAAGAAGATCTTGGATCTAACCTAAACCATGATGACCTTCAAGATCATGAGAAGTACAAGCCGATTTTTGTATCCATGGAACAATCCTGAAAGAACAGGGAAGTCAGTGTATCTGGGGATTATACAGCTTTCTGAATTATCAAGAAAATGAGATAAACCTTTTTGACCTTGACGATTAGCTCCAAGGTCAAGTTCAAAACATGGTCAATTTTCCCTTTTCCTCATTTCCACGCTCAAAGGTATAGGGTCCCGTTAAAACAGTTGCCCTTCAAATGTCCTTGCGCGACTACCGGCTTTCAAGTTATATCACCGTATGTGGGTTTGACCTTGACCATCCATTTTTAGAGACAAAATTTGGGGGTTCCTAATAAAAACACCGACTTGACCTTGGTCAAGATCAAATTAGAAGTCACCATTGGATAGATGGAAAATCGCAGGGATTCGGTTTCGTACCATTATAAGTTCACACTTTATCGTAGGGTTTTCAGATATAAAAACAATCACAGAAATAACGTAGAGGTACAGGTAGCAACATAGAAACAAAATAGATATAAAAACTCGGCAAAAGTTTTGCATTAAAATACAGGGTGTTCGCAAAGTTGGGGTTTTCCTTTTCAGAAACAACTACCCTTGAAATAACAAAGGTAATGTGTAGTGAAGCGAGGGCGACCAAGTAAAAAAAATAAAGGAAAAAGTACTCACTCTCCAGTTGACGAGAAGGGCTAAGTACGTCTCTGTCCGAAATCATACCGCTCCAACAGAAAATGAAATCAGCTGATGCGGCACCGAGCAGACGCAGGCAAACAAGGAAAGCAAAATGCTGCGTAAAAAGTCTAGGTCTAGGTTCACCATGCCAGCCCAAACATTCACCGAAAATGTTTGTTGAAAATGTGCCCGACGGACAGCGTGCGGATTTTCTACTGACCAAACATGAGTGTTGCGAAAGTTATTCACCCCATTACGCGTGAACGTAGATTCGTCTGTCACCAATATGCACTTCAAAAAGTCCGGATTATTGTCAACAACCACTCACAAAACCGCACGCTTGCTGGAAAATCGTCAGGTTGAAGGGCTTGTACACGTTGGACGTGAAACAGATACAGCCCCTCTTCACGCAGCGTTTGCCACACTTTAGTTTTAGATACTTGCACTTCTCTAGCCACGTCTCTAGTGCTTGTTGAGGGATTCACGTCTACGCGATTATCTCTTCACGCGTGACCGTAACCGTCGGTTGAAGGTTGCATACTGACCTGACACACTGACCCCGACCCAGTTCTGTCGTCGGGTTGAGCTAGTGTCCTAGTACCACTGGGGGATGTAGCGGCTACAGGACGGCATTCAGATATTTTTGATGTTGCAGAGCCCTTTATCTCGGTTCCCTTAAGACATTGGGGTATACGGTACTAAGAACAATTGCTTATGTTTTCAAGATCTACACGTCGTGTAAAGGAAAACCCCAACTTTGCGGACACCCTGTATTCACATAAAAGCATGTTCAGTCATGAACTTCTTTCAAATATGTTCAAAGTGAACTGTTTAGGTTGAATAATACTTGTTGGTAGATGATTGTAATCACATATGTAAATGAAAAAGAAAATAACATGATAATGCGCTCCTCGGACCAGACACGAAAGAAGTTCTAGAGTTATTCAGGAACTCAAAAAATGGCGGAGTAAATTAGATCGACTTTGTACTGCCCACGCAATTCCGTCATCAAATAGATTGTGTACGGTTTGTTTCCAAGACATTTTATAATTTGTAATTAGCTACCCAAATTACCCTTGTGTACCGAGTTTCATTTATTTTTAGCAACGGGTAACGAAAATGGATATTTTGCGTCGAGGGACTTGAGTTTAAGGTCACAGTATTCGCGACAATTCATAAAAGTTCTTACGCATCAGCAATACGACGACAATCTCACTTTAGCGCATTTCTTTACATTGGGTAGCGTCTTGAGAACAGCTGTTGTAACATGCTTCATACGATCCTACGTTTTAGGTATACCTAAAGGATGATTCTTCAACAAAATAAGCTTCATAAAAGTAAATTATTTTTCAGCAGAGCTTTTCTATACTTAAGGCTTGTTCCAACAAGGAGTTCCGGACTCGTTCAGGACTAATACGGAATTGTTTTTTAGTCCTTGCAAGAACTAGTTGTGAGTTATTATGTTGTAAAACAGAGTTACATGGCTCGTTGTCGAAAACATAACTAAATCGAAGTAAAATTGAAAATTAAGAAGTTCCAATGTGCTAGACCTGTAATTTGAGATTTGTTGTTATTTAACGTATATTTTAAAAACATTGGGAAAACGACAAATATTCAACATTTTGCCTTTAAAGTAAATATGCCCTTGTACGGTAGCAGAGGAGAACATTTAGTGGAACGTTAACATCACTAAGTATGGATTGATGAAATGTATAATATTAATATTAATGAAACAAATTGATTAAAATTATCAACACTAGCCTATGTAATTTTCATTTCTGGTTTATTGTAGGCGTTACTTTTGTAAAGTGTTATTCAAACAATTGGTGATAATGACAGTTCACCCTTTATATGGGGTTGTCCAAAAAGGGACGGAGGAAAGTAAAACAAGAAAGATTGATATTCAAATCAAGTTGGGTACTTTATTTTGAAGGTTCATTTATACCATTTATGTATGAAAAATAATATCGCTCAAATGTTCACCACGACTGGATTTACAGACGTCCACGCGATGGTCGATTTTTTCAATGACATTTTGCAGCATGGTCGGTTCTATGGCATTTATCTCGGCAATGATGTTGTTTTCGAGTTCTTGGAGGGTGGCTGGTTTGTTGACGTAGACTTTGCTTTTCAAATATTCCCATAAAAAGAAGTCCAAGGGAGTCAAATCGCACGATCTTGGTGGCCATGGCACATTTCCTCTGCGTGAAATCACGCGATCACCGAAGAAGGACTGCAATCGATGGATATTGACGTTGGTTGTGTGGCATGTTGCACCGTCTTGTTGGAAATAAACATCGTCCATATCCATTCCTTCAAGTTGCGGCAAAAAATAGTCCTCTATCATCACGTGATACTGCTCAGAATTGACAATAACGGCGTCCCCGGCCGCATTTTCGAAAAAGTAAGGTCCGATGATGCCTTTTGACCACAATGCACACCACACAGTCACTTTTTGAGGATGCATCGGCTGCTCTTGATACTCACGGGGATTTTCGTTCGCCCAGATGCGGCAGTTTCGCTTGTTTACCGTCCCATTCAAAGTGAAATGCGCTTCGTCGCTGAACATGATTTTTGAGGAAAAATTGGCATCAATTTGGCGGTGTTCAAGGAGCCAATCTGAGAACGTTCGGCGCGAAAAATGGTCGGCCCGACGCAGCTCTTGCGTCAATTGGATCTTGTAGGCGTGTACATTCAAATCCTTGTGGAGAATGCGGAGCAAACTGGTTCTCGAAATGCCCAATTCTTGGGATCGACGCGTTGTTGATTGCTTCGGATCGTCTCTCACACTCTCCTTCACAAAAGCAATATTTTCCGGTGTGCGAACGCTCCTTGGCCGGCCAGAGCCTGGCAGATTTGCCACAGAACCTGTTGCCTCGAATTTACGCACCAGACGACCGATGGTTGTTTCGTTTGGGCGGATGTTGCGACCGAAATGTTCACGAAGCGCGCGAAACGTGTTTTTTATTTTTGCACCATTTTTGTAGTGCTCTTGAATAACTTTAATGCGGTCTTCAATCGAATACGACTCCGATCAATGGTAAACATTCAACTAACAAAATGACATGTCGGTGACAGAAAACAAAGATGGCGTCTATGTCAAATTGACGTTTACTTTCCTGCGTCCCTATTGGACAACCCTTTATACTTATAGATGCCTAATTTACATCAAAGAAAATCTGGAAGCTTTTTCTATCAAAAGAAAAGAAATTAAGTGCTACGGTCTACGCAGGTCACACGACATAGTTGTTCCTCCTCATTTCACCGTTGACCGCCGAAGGTCCCACAGTTATGGCAGTAATGCTTTACAACCACTTGCCAAATTCCATAAAGGGTATATCCAACTTGCATCTATTTAAAGTAAAGGTTAAAAATATTATGTTAAACAATCCCTTCTATAGCGTCTCAGAATATTTTAGCAGTTGTTTTGAATAGCATATGTGATTTATTTACCACTAATGCTTTCAATTTGTATATGTGTATTATTTTTGTTTGTGAAACTTTATGTATTGTTTGTTTTCTTGAATATTTGTAAAGCCACTAAATTTCTTTCTTAATGACAAATCCGATACTATGACGGTATAGTCATATGGAAAACGAATCTATTTATCATTGTCTTCATCTTCACTTGAATGTGTTACAAAGTTAATTCATCGTCACCCATTTCTTGAAAATGTGTAAGAAGTTTGAAAAAGAACAAAATGACAGTCACAAAAACCATATTCCCAGTTATACGAGGGATGTCTTTTAAGTTTTGCATATGGAAATAAAACAACACGGTAGGTAGTTTTAAATGACTTTATTGTCTTTCGAAGTATTCTCCACGAAGATTAATACACATCTGCATGCGCTCGATGCCCAATTTTCGAACCACT